TCATTACAAAAATATTTATTCCTTAAAAAAATACACAAATGTAAAATACTACGTTTTCTATTATATCCCCACTTACTTTCCAAGTATGCCGTTTGGATGTTGGAGTAAATCAAAAGGTAGAACACCTTTTATTTCTCTAGCAACTCTGTATGCTATCTTTCTGCTCTGATTAATTTGTTGTATCTCTATAATTTTAATCGCTAGTGAACTTAGGTAGAATGGCAGGGGACTAATGTATTAGCTGTCAGGGAAGTCCCACTTAATATTTGCTCTTGAATACCACTGCCATGGTAGCAATGCTGACTCGGGATCTGGTCCAACTAGATGCCAAGCACCATTTTGTTTTGTGTTTTTCTCAGCAGAAGTAGCAATGCTCAGAGTTAGCCTTTAGGATTACACCACCCTGGGCAAACTCAGCAGTGCATAAAATTGGTACAGGTACACAAATAACACCCAAACTACACCCTGTGTTAATCATTCATGCCCTGATCTTGCAGACACCTGCACACATTCCTCCTGTGAGTAGTCCTGTTGACTGAAATAGGTCTACACACAGCAGAATTAGGAGTATGTGTTTTTGTTTGCAGGGCTGAGGTCTTCTATTGCACCGGTAGAGGTACGCTTCATGGAGAAGGGCTTGTGCACACTTCTCTTGCTGGGGATTGAAAGATAATGTTGTGTTTATACAGCTTTGGAATACAGCCTGCACTGTTTGGAAAAAAAATAAGGAAAAGAAAGATACAAAAAGAAGGAAACCCAAGAGTGCTAAGGCAAACTGTCAAACGGCACATCATACCTACTTTTTCATTCATTTAGATAACATCACAAAGGCAGACCAGAGGAGTTCTGTAAACATATACCATACAGTACATCAGACACAGGAAATTAAAAAAAGAAAACAACCCTGTAATTCTTTTCTTTCTGTATTGATATTCTTGTAATTGAAAGAGATTGCCTAGCCACTAATCATAATGCTGTGTTTTTTGATTTGTATTTTTCTTTTGTTTAAAAAAAAAAGAAAGAATGGAAGTAAAATGCAGTGGTTTGCAAAAGAAACAGTCCCTGAATGCAAACGAGGGACGACATGGAAAGTATGTTCATAGAAACTTAGAAAATACAAAATATAAAAAAGTTTCATAGGTTACTTTTTCCCCGTCTAGGAAAAGATACACTGAAAAGAGGTTTTTTTTTTTGTTTTTCTTACAAAAGTTAAGGCGAGCAGTTTGTTGTGGCAAAATGCTATCACTGAACCAGTTTCTGACTCTACTTTTTTGTATCCCCTCATGCTGAAATTGAAAATGTACATGTGATGGCATAAGTTAAACAGACAGGGAGTTTGCTTAAAACAATACAAAAACCCCTTCCCATAATGATCCTTACAAAATCTCTCTCTGCTTGGCCGTAGAGCGGACCTCTTCCTTTGTGCCTGATTGTGCATGAATTTCCATAAGCAGCTTCCTACCCGAGGGTGAGGGGAAACCTGACCCCTTCGAAGCCCAAAGCAGCCCTGGAAAAACGGTTTACATTCATCAGCCTCGGCTAACGCATTTGAATTCCCGTGTTACTTGGCTGTAGGCTAATGGCTAGAAGGGAGACGCCGATGCCCAGGCATGGCTGCTGCCCTTGCAGAGGATGATGATTGGAGTAAATGTGTTTCAGCCGACGTAGCTAAGGCCCTCCGAGTTCAGACCAATTTGCTCCTGTTTCGTGGTTTTCCTGACCTCAGACGTGGAACTGCCCTTGACCCGTAAAGACAAACCCTATGCAGACAAACCTTTAGCTCTTCTGGATCTTTTGGGGCCCATTAACCATGGAGTTCATATGAACACATAAAAAACACTGGCCTTCCTAGGCACTCAATGTTAGCTACAAGTACTGAGCAGTAGGTATTTGGCAGGTTTAAGGTTTAAGGCTTGTGCTCTACTTCTAACCACTAAAGGGCCACTTCTGGACTCTTGTGTGCTCCCATCTCCCTGCCATGTTGTGCCTCAGATGGTGCAGTGGTCTCAGACATGTTCTGGTCCCAGCCTCAGCAAGCATCTCCCAAAGCAGGCCGCTGAGGGAGTCATCCCCAAAATGCTGAGTCTGTGCTGAACCAGAAGGTCATCTGACAGGGGAGCACGCGGCTGGAGATGCATGGACACAGCGGGTTAGGGTAAAGATGACACCCCAAATTTCCCGAGCAGAGGGCTTTGGGAAAAAACGTCCACAGGGGAGAGGAGTGGCAAGGGAACAAAGATCGGGCTGGAAAGACACTGGGAGGCCAGGGTGGCTGTGAAGGCAGCATCACACCCCGAGAGGAAAGGGTGGTGAGCAACGAGACGACCGGCCAGGCCAGGAGGAGGTGGCTGGAAGATTTGTTTTTGAGCGTTACTGCTGAGGTGAACAGGCCCCAGAGTGAGAGAACTATTGCAAAGCGCGCCTGGCTCCCGCGGTGCTCACGGGGTAGGGGCGAGAGGGAAAGGGCTTCACCTCTTGCGTTGCAGTGCTTTGGGGTCCTAAATGTGCCTGGGGACAGCCTTGCCAGGCCACCCTGGGGTTGAAACTCAGGGTCTCGTTTTAAGAAATGTTGAAATTTGTAAATGCTTAGCGTTTCTGGGAAAAAAGAAAAAAACACACAACCCAGCCAAAAAAACCCAAAACACGGGTTGCTAGTTTCCAACAAACAGCCACCAGACCTACTGTCGCAACGTGGGGCTCTGCGGCCGTTCCCCTCTGATACAACTTAACCACCTAAGCCTGAGTCAAGGGATGATGTGCAGAGCTTCTATGGGTGAGTTTGGTCCTTCTCCCATCCAAAAGCCCCCAGGGGAGGCAGAGGGAGCGTGCAGAAGTCTATTAAATCTGGCCACTGCAGCACATATGGAGGCCAGCAAAATTTCTGCAGGTGTCATATGGATGTGGCTGTCTCTTCCTACTCTCCGCTTGCTTTTTTTTCTGACTATCACCTGAGCAGTGGTGAGAAGTTACATTGACCAGCTCCATAATGACGGCTGAGTGATCTAACGCAGGAACTACCTTTTGAATTTTTTGTGTGTGTATGTTTTCAGTGTGCCTCATATTACCACCACCGTGAACAAGTGTCTTTTTTACTGGCACAGAAAGAAAAGAGTACAGAGCAAGAACTCTGTTTAATCGGGTGCTCTGAACTAACAATTAATGCAGTAAAAGCACCATCCAAGAAAGAACAGAAATATCACAGGAACCACCTCAGACTGAAAAGAGGCTTTTTGTTGTTTTCTTTCTTTCTTTCTTTCTTTCTCTTTCTTTCTTTTTTTTTTTTTTAATTTTTTATTTTGTTTTTTCAGTTGCTGTTATTGATTTTTAAAGTCTGATAGTTTCAAAGACACTTCAAAATAATCTTCGGTACTTTTTAACACTATCAGAAAATATAAATCCTGATTTTTAATCTCACTTCTGTAGTTATAAATCCAGACTAACTCCACTAGAGTCAGTGAAGCCACACTTAAGCAAAACTGATGTGAGACAAGAATCAGGCTCCTAATATCTTGCCATGAAAAAGCTGGCTGCTTTTTCATTGTAGTTAGAAGAATCAAAGGACCAAGAAACAAAGAAACATCTACTGATTTTGGATGCCTTCGCCCTTTTACATTTTCACCTTGAGTTGTCTTTAACAGGACTGATTTTCAGAGGGCAGATGAAGAAAAAACTACTGGAAATCAGGCCTCTTTGAAGTGTCCCACACTGGAAAATGAAGCATCCAAAACCACCAGCAGTTTTTGAAAATGTTAGCCTTGAGGCTGTAGGATCTTCTCCCGAAACAGCTGCTCCGACAAAACTCCGGTGGGCCTCCACGGGAGTTTTGCCTGGGTAAGCAGGGCAGGATCACACCATCACCTGTCATTATGTAGGTGCACTGGAGGTACACTCTATGAGAAATTACACTTCCCTAAGAATTACAAAATAAAACTCTGGCCCTGCCCCCATTCCCAGCACTGAGAATTTCATCACTGAATCCAGTGGGAACAGGGTCAGACTGTGAGAGAAGTTCATTTATATTCTAAGGAAATAGAAAGCAGTATCTCTCTTCTACTGGAGTTCGAAAAATTCATGTATAAACATTGGCAGAGTTACTGAAAGGCAAGTAATTAGATCAGTGACTCCATTTCAGTTGGTGTGACAGCTGCATCTTTTTCATGTCAAGTTAATTTCAACTGTAATTTGGGGAGATGAAGTACACATACAATACTGTAATCTGGAAGATTTATATAAGGCAAAAATCATCATTCATACATTTTCTAGAAAGAATAATTAAGGTCCACTTTTGGTATCACCAATAAGCAGAAATGGCTGATGGGTTTTTCTGACACCGCAAACTAAACTGGAAAGTTACTATAAAACAAAACTATGCAAACATTTTGGGAAAGACTTGTCTGAGTTTTAGCAAATTAAAACATTAAAATGATCTAAGCCTTCCCCCCAAAAATAAAAAATAGGAGCTATAAAATAATGTTTAAATGTGATTTTTCTTAAAAAAGAGAAGCAACATTTTTTTAAGGCTTTCATATCTGGCTGCTGTGAAACTCAGACTCCCACAAAATCCTAGGAATCTGATCAAGCCTGCCAGATATCCAAAGAAAAATGTAAAAAGTGTTTTCATTATATATATATATAATATATATAAAAATCAAATAAATATGAAAACATTTGTTCCATTTCCCATTTATCTCTCACTCTGCAATATTAAAGAAAAAAAAAAAAAACACCACCAACAAAAAGCAAAAAACCACCCAACCCCTCCCCAAACTCCAAATAGTACGGCTGATGGGAAAATAACCATGCGTTCCTCTTCCTGAAGGACTAGAAAGCAAAGCAACCCAACTGCAAGGCAATGGAGGCATTCACTTCCAGTTCACAGTATTGCAGTTAGAAGTACAGTGAGGTCTAGATAAGTGATGGAGCAGGAGTTGCCTGGAGCGGGGAAGGAGGAGGTGTTCACATGACAATACAGCATTGACAGCGCTTTTTCTTTTGTGTACCTGGGGCAGCTTCCAAGGGCAGGCTCTCTTCCTTCCCCTCGGGAGAGGAGGGCTCTGTCGTGTCCGACAGGGGCCTGCCAGAGACCAGCTCAGCGGCGTTCCCGTCCATGGTGGAGACGTCCGTCACTGTCTTCTCCCGCAACGACTTCTCGTCGTCTTCGTCGATAAGGACCAGCTCTGCCTTGATGGTCTCGTCATAGCCCAGCACTTTCTTCGTCTCCTCTTCATCATCGATGTTCTGGTAGCCCATAAATATCATTGTCACCGGCTGATCTGCGCTGGCCTCCAGGGCTTCACCACCGCAGGGTTTGTCTTGGGGCTGAGGGTTCACAGCATGCCCTTTGCTGGGTTTGTGTACCATTTCCAGCTTTGCCTCCTTGAAGAGCATTTGCTCCTTCATATGGCTAAGGTTTCCATCGGCTACCGCATTTCTGTCTGACACAGTCATTGTTTCATACCCTCCTTTTACACTTGATTGTCCAGCTTTTTGCATAAGTTCATCTACGTCCTTTGAGCTTAATTTATGTACTCCATTTTCTACCACTGTGCCACCAGAGTGAACCTCATAGACTACCTTGGTACCATCATCATAGACTTTGAATCCTCTTTGATGGGCCTCATCTGGGCCAATAGGTGAAGCAGAGACAATCTTGGTCTCTCCTGTCTGTTTGTCTTTCTCCACATTAATTTCCATGGTGCACAAAGCTTGAATGAAAACAAGAGAGGAAGTGCATGTTACAACAAAAAAAGCCAGTGAATGGTTAATTGCCAAACAGACAAAGAAAACTACGGTGCCCCTTTTCCTACCTCCTGCTTCTAAAGGGCCAAGCGTTCTACGTTAGAGGTGGGATGCAATGCTGTGGACAGAGATAGCTGTTACACTACAGCTTTTTATGCAGCTGGAGGCTAGGCATACCTGTGTAAATAGGACCTAGTCTTCCAGCTCACGCCGCGTGGAGCTGTCTTTGATCAATTAGGAGCACCAAGAGCACTTGGGTTAGGTGTAATTTAGACAAAGGGAGGTGACAGCATGCAGGTTGCCCTCAACCTTTCCATTCTCAACTTGCCTCAAAATTCAGAGAGAAACTCATTTCCAGGAACCTCTCTACTCTCTTTTCCTTCTCTGCCATCAAACTGCCAGTTAGCTGGTAACAAGTTTTGTTTGCTGCAAGTAACACCCAGACTGTTTTATTGTCAACGCTTGTTCTTGCTTAACTCTTCCATCCGTAGGATTCAAAACATTTTAGAGAGGCGAAGAAACATTGTTTATCCCTGTTCTACAGGTGGGAAAACAAAATCAAACAGGAATGGGATAATTTCTCCCGCAGATGCATGGCAGGGCAGGTCTCAGCTTCCACACCAAGGCATTGACAGTGACCTCTGCTTGCAGGTTAAGAGAATGTATAAAATGGCCAGGAAGTGCTCCCTCATTTATTTGAATTAGGCCCTAAGCACCATTGCCGAAGTTGAAGAAAAAAGTAATAATGAACTGACTTTCAAAGAGTCATGAAACAACAGGTGAAAACATGCTTGTGAGGGATGCTGCTTTAGAATAGCAAAGATGCTTTTCTAGCATTTAAGAAGGACGCAGTAACAAGATGAAAATTGTAGAGACCACACAGTAGGAATAGACAGTCTGCACCGCTCTAACACCCATTTTGAGATACGACGGCATCTCACTAGACAGCTTTTCAAAGAAAAATGTGCAAAGTTCTTACAAATTTTCCAGAAGTGGTCATCTGTTTAAGCATTCCTTGTATACAGATGGAGACATTTTGGCTCCTGGACAGACATCCACAGACACTAATTGCAAATTACCACAGGCAGTGACAAGTGTTTGTGAAACTTATGGTGACCATTTCCACCAATGGACCTCAATGGCATAACCATGATTTGTCTTACCTTACCAACAAACTGACATGTTGGCTTTTTTTCCTGACTTATTTTCAAGTGAGAACAGAATATCCTTGCCCCAAAACCCAATGTAGCTTGGTATGCTTGTATTTAAAAAATCATTAATATAAAAAAATTACCCTTGCGTTAAGATATTCCTTCAGTCTTATTATTCACACACAGTAGGATTTTTTTTTCTGTACCCTTAAAGCAGAGTAGTTCATCAGCAATAGGAAGTTTATCATGACCTGCATCATCACCCCCCGTATAGCTCTAGACAGAAAATTCATGTATTGCTGAGTGGGTGCTTGCTGCCCCTGCAAGGCGGTCTCCTCTGGACCCCGGGGGTGCAGTCTGGTAGGCAGCCCAGCCAAATGGGGGTTTGGTCATCTACGTGCTGTGTGCATCTGCTCAGACCTTGTTTGGCCCTGGAAGGGCTGGTTAGGTCAAACGCAACACCACGCAAACACCTGGATGGGGCTGGAGGATGGAGGTGCCGGTGGGCGAAGGAGCATTGCTACTTCTGAGAGTGAGGCGTTGCTGAAGTCTGGAGTGGGCTGCAGAAGCAGGGATCTCATCTTGGCCATTGCAAACTAGGGGAATATCCCTAAGGACCGTGTTTTACCACCGCTTTGGGAGGTTTATGGACTAGTCGTGTCCATAGCTGTCATGATCCTGAGCACAGGATGCCCATTGTCACAACGAAGTAGGGATATCAGTTTTCTGATCTCCCTCCCTGTGCAGGAGTTTTCATGCCTGGACATCCCACAGCAGCCCCAGCAGCCAAGAGGAGGCTGTTGGGGCGAGAGCTGGGCTCTGCTCCGAGGTGTGCAGCAGGAGACTGAGGGGCAGCCAGCAAGGACTGAAACAGGGGAGATTTAGGCTGGAAATAAGGAAAAACACTGTCGCCCCAAGGCCAGTAGCTGTTAAGCCCTGGGGCAGGTTGTTCCGAGGAGCTGTGGCAGACTGCACCATGGTGCAGCTTAGAGAGCAGCTGGAATAGATCGCTTGCTCAGGACTGTTCCAGCCCAGGAGCTGGTGGGCAAGTGTCCTTCAAGTCTCATGCAAGTTACTCTGCCCTGAAGCCTTTAATCCAACTTATAGGGGTAATGAAACAAAAAGATGCAGGTGCCACCACTAACACACTGGAATTTGCTCCCTTCTAGGTGCAGTTTCTTGGGTGGGGGTGAGGGGGAGGAGGGAAGAAAGAGGAATTTTCTTTATTGGCTTAGCCCCCAGGCCTTGGGTGAGTGGGCTCTGAACATCACTTGACCTCGCCAGGGATGCTCATCTACAACTGCAAACATTACGGAGGTAAAAGTAGGGGTTGGCTAGCCTATGCTGCAGATGCTAAAACTGACACCCTGGCAGGTTTTTGAGTGGCAGCCAGCTGAACCGAAGCAAAGCTGAACTATGAGGGAGCAACAGCACATTCAGAAAATCATCTCTGATGGGCAGAGGTTCCTGATTTGTCATGAGCACTACAGCCCTGCAGAGAGGGCACTGCCAGCTCACCGGCTGGCCGCTTGCTACCTTCTTGGCGAGAAGCAGCATCCTGACTTCCCCTGGAGCTCCTGTGCTTCTCCTCTTCTTTGAAAAATAAAAATATTATCTGGGACATGACTTTTCAGTAAAGGCTGCTGATTTTCCTGTGAAATAGTTGAGTACCATGTTATTGCGTATATTTTTAGTGCAGAAGAGGGTGCAATCTGCCAGATCCTTCCTGTTTTGATGAACAAATTTCATTCACTAGTGTGCATTAAAAGAAGGCTTGTATAGTGGGCCTGAATTCAGAAGCAGATAGGGAAAATCTGTTAGTTAAATCATGTGGACCTGGCCATATTTAAGAAGAGTTGCAAGATACATCTTTTTATCTATGGTATGGAGTACTGACAAGTAACAACGTCCTACTTATTAGGAAGACTTTGGGCAACAAGTTCTAGCACTGCTTGGAAGACTCTGTCCTACTGGCTGATCTGATCTAGAAAGTTAATAGGTGTGGTCCTTGTGTATTTTATGTTTGGCTAATTTGCTCAAGCATTTGCCACTGTCAACATTGTAATTTCTTCCACTGTCATTTCAGCAGCAGTGTTTTTAAGACTGACATAACGTGGTTTATGACCTGCCCCCAGGATGACATTAAAGCTACTTGTGCAAGTAAATGCATAAATATACACGAGTTTCTTAGAAAGCTGTTAACTAGTGAAATGCATTGCCATGGGAGAAGTGAATAACAGAACCTGGCTTATCTGCCTGTATGCATAATGTTCATTCTCTGCAGGAAAACCTAGCAGCCCAGCTTGTCAAAGTAGCTGAAAATTGAACTAATGTTGATTTCTCAGATGTCTTTATTTAACCAGAGCTTATTTGCTGCAAAATGTGCTCTATTAATACGATGCAAAACTGTCTGACAATAGAGTTGAAACTGAAACCAGTACTTGAAGATGACAGCCTGTATTCACAAGTAAAAGTTTTCTGCATGAGCTTTAATTACAGTGTAACAACAATGCAGTGCTTCACGACAAGATCCGAGTGTGCAGACGAAAGGATCAAGGATCTGGCTTCTGCCTGTTATGTGGCTTCAGAGGCTGCTCTTTAAAAAAAAAAAAATCTTAATAGACTTTGAGGTTGCTTTAAGATGGATGCTTACAGTCTACCGTTGAGCACATATGCTGGTGCCTTTTCTTTAAGCTATTGCACACACACAATACTCATATAAGGACTACGTGAATAAGGCTTCTGGGTCATTTGAAGAATGAAAGAAATTATTGTATTCTTGGTGTTGACAAAATGGCACAAAACACACAGGGAAAAGCTTGCTTTTAAGACAGATCAGGATAAGCACTGGTGGAAGGGAAGCTTTTGGAATGGTTTGCCACAGAACCTCTAAACAAAATGACATATCCCATAGCTGTGTACAGTGTCTTAGCTGCAGACATTGCTTTGCTATGCTTGTTAACCTATTCTTCAAGTAAGGCACCCTTCATTCCCACTCCTTGGGACACCTCTTAAGTAGTCACCAGCAATTTGGTCTTGAGATAGGGAATACATTGTTTAGAAAAGAAGGATCTTGAAAATAAGAAAAGCATACAGCTTTTAACAATCACGTTGTTACATTTAAGACACATACTCAATCTGAAAAATAAGTGTTAGAAAATTCTCTGTATGACTCCAAGCACAAACATGCCGTAATTCTCCCCACCTTTTCCCCAAGAAGAAAGAATGATACACAAGTAAGTATAAAACGATATAAAAG